AGAGAAAATCCTGTAGAATTTAAACAGATTCAAGGTTTTGGTGCAGAAGAACTAGTAAGCAGGGTTGTTGCGAATATTATGCCGAAATAAAAGTCCTTTCCGGATAATAAACAAACCGCCTGTCCAAATCAAATAAATTTGGTACCATATGAAACAGGAATGAAATAAACAGAAATAACGAACGATCTTAATAAATTTCTTTTTTATAATTTAATACTAAAGAAATGCATACACCTTACACAAGGTTTGTTCTATGGTACTTGATTAACATTTTTTATTGAAATATTTTTAAATATGTGGCTTTCCTCGTTTAGACACATCAGTTATAAAGATATTAAAGTATTCTTTAATTTGGTACCAAACTTGTTTAATTTGGATAAGCGGTTGGTTTATTATCCGGAACGGACTTTTATTTCGGAATAATATTCGCAACAACCCTGCTGGTAAGTATTGAAAATGTTATTTTAAAATTTTGTCCTTGAAATTTCGCAATATTCATTTTGGAAAAATTATATGTTAAGGATTTACATAAACTCTATATCATCCTCGAATTTCGTCCTTCTAACCTTATCAGCTTAAAAAATTACCTATTCGTCATTGTGAAGCCAAAAAATTCAAATTTTTTTATGGTTCTAAAGAAATTTCCTCTTTCATTTGGTACCCATATTTTTATTCTACATTGTATTGATTTTTTAAATAATTGGAATTAATCATTTTAGATAATTTGGAATTGATCATATTTTTAAAATTACGAAGTCCTTTAAAAGAAATCCTGACGTCAGAGTAAAAAATAAAAACGCCACTTTAAATAAAAAAGTAGGTTTCAAAACCCCTTTATTTATTTATAGTAGGAGAGCTTCTCAAACAATGTTGAAGCAATTTTTTCGATTTAAGTTGTTGAAAAGTAATGAATAGCTAAATCCCGGGACTAATCCCAGGATTCCAGGATTGTGATAACGACATGCCAAAAATCACGGGATCGGAAAAGGCTGAAAAATTAACATCCCTTGTGGGAGAGCTATAACTGGACCGGCTTGAGCCCTCTCTAGCCAAATGGTCAGATGTGTATCAGGTATTCCCAATGATCTGGCATCCAGAGTAAGGTTAGTTACGGCCTCCAACATAATTTAGTTTTGCATTTCCGAGCTATCTGAAAGTAATTACAGAGCTGGCCAATGCCTTGAGCGCAGCTGACATACAGACTACACTACCGACACGAAAAGTCGTGGAAAAAGGTGGAGATGAAACCATTTTTTCACCACATCGTCTATAACCTTAAGGATTGTAAATACTTAGATTTGGAATACTGGGACGTATTCGATATGGAAATTGTACAATCTGCACAGCAAAGGTAATGAGGTCGTTGAATAGTGGGGCATTGATAAGGCACTTGCTTTCTGCCACCAGCAATCTCTTAAAGGTTGGCAATATTACTGATGTGCCTAGAAACCCTGGCAATATGTATTTGCTGTATATTGCAGTTAAGTTCAGCGCTGGTCAGAATTTGACCGTTTATTAAATATACATATTTTTTTTTTTATTTTAGTCGTGAATTCTGACATACATATACATACCTACTCGTACAGGGCACCACCAATCAAATGACTACTCCCAACAACATCTCTAATTTTCACCTCAAGCCGCATACTTAGTTCCCATTAAGTCATAGTTAATATTGGTTGGCTATCCAACAACTAGCGCGAGTATGAAACGGCGCCAAAAACGAACGCAATCGACCGTGCCAATCGAAGCCGCAGACGTGCAGCCGTCGTTCGATCTCAGACATGCAGCTAACGGCTGGGACGTGCCACTGTTGCAAGTCTGCAGCTCAGCCGCCGACTTTTATGTAGCTGTCGACGCGTTGTTGACGTTGCAAGGTTCGTTGACGTGAAAAACTGCAACATTGGCAGCAAGCGACTGCAATTACTTACATACATACATACACACATACACACATGCATTTAAACAAGCGCAGCGTTGCTTAAACAAAAGTGTGACGAGCGCTCCACCATTTGCCATTCTCCATTCTCTCCATTCGGCTATACAACATTCGCCATTTGGCCATTCACTGTCAGCAACACTGTCAGTTGCCCTAGTCACCGGCTTGGCAATGATTCGCTTTTAGCAAAGTCGTCCTCATCGTTGTTGCCCCCGTTGCTGATGCTGCTGATTGTGGTTGTTGCTAGTATTGCAACAGCAATGATGCTCTGTCTCATCTATGTATGTATGTATGTATGTATGTATGTATGTAATGTTGCTGCCCGCGGTTGTCGTCGTCTCGCCGCAATTGAACTTATCACATTGAACCAATAACATTAACCACAACAATAATAATAATATTAATAAAATCAGCAAAAAAACAAAAAACTTGCAAAAGCAACACAATTGGATGAGAAGAAGCAGTAGGGTATGAGTAAGTACATACATACATATGTACATATGTATGATGCGATGCGCTTGAATTGCCGGTGAAAACAGGTTGTTTGGGTTGACTGACTGTTGGATGGGTTAGTTGGTTGTAAGACAAGCGCAAAGTGGGTCACCACAATCAGGTATATATGTATGTGTACACAGCGACTTGCCACATATGGCAACATTGTTGTTCCGCTGTGCTACAATGCTGCATTCCATGCGATGCGATGCTTTTGCTTTGCGCAGCTTCCATAAGCTAGCAAAACAAGCTTGGTTTTCTATAAGCATACATTTGTATGCATGTATGTGCATCTATAAATATAGATATGTAGGTATGGTATATACACAGCGTGTTTGTATGTATGTACGTACTTTGCAGCTATTGTTGCACAGGTGCAACATCCACCTTTGCAGGTTCAGCATTTTTTTTGTTGTAAGTGCAACCACAGAAGATGACACTGAAGTTAAATTGCTAAAAGGCGGGAAAGTAAAGATCTGTTTGCCCAATGGAAATTGAAGCGTTACTTTGTAGTCCGATGAGGCAGACAAAACTCGAAATATTTTTATAGTTTCCCCTTTTTTCTTTTTTTGTCTTTTTCATTGGAAGTGGTTTTTACGTGGCAGGTTATAGACACAGCGCACAAGCCATTGCTGGGATTTTATGTTTTCCTTTTAATCTGTTTTAAATCTACCCGAGTAGTTTGTCACTCAGCAGTTCCCGTTCCCAATAACGCGGAACGAGAATTGACCCTCTGGCGGCGCAAAAGCACCAAAAGTGTACCGCCGACCCTTCTTCATCAAGGCGGAAAGGGCTAATGAGGTGTCCTGGTGTATGTCGATCACAGCCAGGCGTTTGTGACAGGAAAAGAGATCAGTCCCACAAGTTTTCTGCAGTTGCATCTGACGAAACGAAACAGATATCTACGCATATGGCGTATGATTGGAGGGGACATGAAAGCCTCCGGTCCACCCTTTGCTAAACTGACCTTGTCATTAGTTTGCACATTTCCTTTTTTTCGCTCAACGCTCGTTGAGGTGAGATCTGTCCAAGAGTAATCCATATGCAGTAAGCACTACCGCCATCACTCTGCGGGCTCAGTGAGATCGATTCGAGAGTACCTTTCTTACTGTGTTTTCGTTTCTACCGCCTTTTGATCTCCCCTTTCTCTTTCATGTTCGATTCTAAAATAATGGCAAATTTTAAGACAATTTTGTGTTCGTTTCTTAAAATGTCACACTCATGTAAGGCATATTCCCTGAAAGTCCTATGGTGCACAATATTATGCAATGCGTGAGCTAGACAAGGGCAAGAAGGCAAAAGCATGCCCTTTTACAGGGTTGTGTATAACGTCGAACAGATTTTGCACCGTGGAAAAGAGACATTTTTTGGAAGAAACGAAATCACCATTAGTCTACTCATTTACAGTTAGCTGCAATTCCTAATCCTGATTTTTTCGATGTTGTCGCTGCTCTTTTGATGCATCAATTATGAGATGAGAAATAAAACGAACATAACATTAAATTCAAAGAAAAACAAATGTGTGGGTCAGCTCAGAATTCTATAATACATACACAAATAGTATTTCAAGTCGCTAGCAACAAAAACAATGAATTTGATTGTTTCAGTTCTTTGGACATATTTTACGGTTTTTCTGAGACCATTTTTTGGTTCTACAGGAAGCATTTTTCAGATCTTTTGGTATTGAGTTTCGGTTCTACAGGATTCATTTTTCGGATCTTTTGGAATCGAATTCCGGTTCCTTTAGCGCACGTTTTTCGGTTATATTAAGAACCCGACTGGTCGGTTCTTTAAAGGACCCGGTTATCTAGTCCCGGTTCCTCGGTTTTGTGCATCACTAGCATAAGATATTTCTACTGACGGTGCTCAGCCGGAGCTTTTCTGTACTAGTTTTGTTGAGAAATAATTTTTATTTAATTATTTCGATTTATTCATTGCAGCAGCATTAAAATCAGAAACTGCTCTGGTTTCAGATCCGAAACGCTACTGAGAAAGATTGCTGAATAAACACTTTCATATACAAAGCTACACTGAGAAAAAAAACCATTTCCATTTTGTTTCAAGCTAAAACACATACGATTTTGCGCCAAACGACCTTTTGTTTACTTTAAACAGATTTATTTTTGTAGAATTTTTCGTTTGAACACGATATCGCACTGCACTTCAAAGATGCTTTTTCGTAACTAAGAGAAATCGAAGAAAAATCAAAATTATTTGTTCCGTCTAATAGCATGCGAACCAGGTCCTACTGAAAGCTAACATCGGCTAAGGAATTTTTGAACACAAAAAGTATTTTTAAACAAACTTAAAAGTGAAAAAAAGAAAAAACGCAGCAATTTGAAAGCCTTGCTTTGTTCGAAACGGCTTCGCTCCGCTCGGCTCCACTTCCTGTGTGTACTTACCGTAATACCTTTGATTCTAGCAGGAGTCTCATTTGAGCTTAAAATGGATTTTATCAAGAGCTTGAATTGTATTAGAAATTATAGTAATTTTCTAAAATAAAAGACTCTTTTCAAGTTAACAATATCCTAATATGAATATTTGATTTTTCTCTTCTTTTTTCTTTCAGCGGCTCTGCCTGGTGCCGTCTGCTACAGTCATGCCCACTGTCAAATGTTTGACACACGTTCACACTGCGATTTCCTTATACCAAATCTCTTTGGCCGTTGTCAATGCACCTCGCCGACAAATTGGTAGGCGGCTTCTGTATGGAGGGTACACGTAGCAGTGCCAACGGAAGCGCCAGTGACGACTACAGCACCTATCAGTACTTCAAGTAGCAGCACAACAACAACAACCACCACTACCACCGCACCACCGACGCCAGCAGCCACAGAGCTGGCAGCCGCACCCATTCTACCTGCAGTTGAACCCGTGCGCTACGACAGTGTTGAGGAGCAGACGACATCCGAGGAAAAGTCAGATTCCCCAGCTAATTCTGATGCTGATATGGAATCGCCAACAACCACATTGCAACATCTATTAACACCAGCAGCAGCCGATGAGCATTCGCAAGCACTGGCAGCCGATGAAATTTTGCCACAAGAAACCACGCCTGCCGTAGACGATTATCCGTATAAGATCGAAGATGAATATGATGGTGAAGAAGCAAATCAACAACAACACCAGCAAATTGATGAAGAACACCAAGAACACGTAGGCGAAACACCGCAGCATGTCGAAGAACAATCGGCACAAATCGAACAGCAACTGGACCATTTGGTGGAAGCGCAGGAGCAGTCAAATATTGTTGACGCAGATACTGAGAGAGAACCATCAGTGCCGCAGACTGGTGACGAGGTTCAGAATATTGTTGCAGATGCCGAAGTTGCAGAGACAGTGCACGATAATGTTGGCATTGCTTCACACCCCATCGACGAATATGAAACCGAAAAATCTCAAGTGGAAGAAGAAAAACACAATGAAGCTGAGCGCATTGTAGATGGACAACCTTTGGAATGGTTACAACCACCTGCATTAGAAGCACCAAGTAACCAAGGTGGTGTTGCTGGGCAAGAAACGCCGCTGGCTGCAGAGCAAGAACTCCAAATTGGCGAAGCACAGCAAGTTGTGGACGCACCCGCGTTTAATGAACCAGAGCATCCGGAGGAGAACATAAACCAAGAGCAACAGCACAGCGAAACGGATACTGTGGCTGAGGTTCTCACACCGCCAAAAGAAGTGGGACACATTGCCGAAGTAGTACCAGATCAGCAAATTGCTCCTGTTGCGCCTGAGGAAGTAGATAATTACGAGCAGGAGGCTAGTGAAAATGAACAAAACCTCGAGTCAGTGCCACAGGCGCAAGGCGAAGAGGAGAGCGCTGCTTTTGGCCCAGCGCAAAGCCAACACAGTGCCGATGGGCTGCCAATAGGCACAACAGCACCCCATGAGGCTACTGAAGCACCACCAAACGAATTGCCCTCTGATAACCAGTACGTAGATTTCCACCACGAATTGGACATGTACGAAGATGTCGAACAGGAAGGCGAACATACGGGAGACGATGGTGCAACAATAGTCGACGATACCATGAAATTTGATTACGAGACAGCTCAGGAGGAATTCAATGCAGAAAACACTGATGGGCCAGATGGTAATGAGTCGATTGATATAACTGAATCTCCTAATTGGGCACAAGCACCTGAGAACACGCCCGCTAACCCACCTGTCCCCTCAGAATTCGTCTTACCTCCTCAAGCACCGCTGCCTGATGCTCATGAAGATAATCAGAGCGAAGAGAAAATCAATCAACAGCATGAAACTGAAAGTGAGACAGATGTACAGCATCAGCAACAGCAACAACCGCAGGCGGAAGAAAGTGCACCCGTCGTGGCGGTAGAAGATGCTGAAAGAGCAGAAATTGAAAGTGCAGCAGCTGGCGATGACTTAACCGCAGCCAACAGTGAAGCGGAGACAGCGCTTGATGAGCAAGAACACAGTGGCAATATACAGAGCAGCAATGACGATTACCAACACCAAGACAAACCCGTTGCGCCTGAAGAAGTAGCAATAACGGAACAAATTGCACAAGAATCGCAGCCAGAAATCGCTTACGCACCTGAGGGCTTGAAGCCACAATCAAGTGACGCTGCGCAAACCGTGAACGAAACTCAGCCGGCCACAAATGATGGCGCAATTGCCGCTGGTCAACTCGATGCGCCAGCTAGTGGGTACAATTTAGAGGACGAGACCGACAAGCAGCAGACTGAAGAGCAAAATACTGGGGACGAAGACGTTGCCGGTTCGGTTGGAGCTGTGACTGAGGAAACTGTTGCGGCTGACAGCGATGTTGCGGCCAGTGAACTAGTACAGCAGCAGATCGTGAATGAAGAACTTTCGCATGGCATAATAAATGAAGCCGAACAAGCGACAGTTGGGGCGCAGGCTGATCAAATAGAGGTGCAGGAGGCGCCACAGCAATTGAGTGCCGCCGAGCAAATAGTTGCGCAAACTGAGCCAGCTCAGCCAATCAACAGCGAGCACGTAGAAGACCAAGTGGTGGAAGAGGCGGTAGTCGAAGAAACGATTGCAACAACAGCAGTGCCGTTAATCCAAGAGACTGAATCTGAGACTGAGACTGATGGTATACACGAAAATGGTCCCGTGGTGCAGGCGGAGCCTGACGCTGCAGATGTGAACGAAAACGACAATCAAATTGCAGAAAGTGAAGCTCATACGGAGCGATTCGTTTTGAGCGGTGAAGATGTTGGAAGTAAGCCTGTCGTAGACAATGAAGAGGCTGCGCATACGGAACAGGATAACGCAATTCTACAAGATGTTGGTAGCGAGAAGGAGTCACCAGTGCAAGAGACTCCGTTAAAATTAGACAGTGAAAATGAACAGTTAAGTGGCGTTGAAGATGGTGGATCGACTGATCAGACAAACCCGGTGGAGGATACAATACCTGACATTGCAGTGTCGGAAAGCACCATTGACGAGAGCAAGCCTATAGAAGATCCAAATCAGTTCGAAGAAGCCAACAATATCGTTGAAACCGATTCGCTGGTGCCAGATAGTCAAACTGAGCACACTAACCACGTTGAAGAAACCGATCCAGTTGAAGCCGACAATTCTATTGACTCAAATGAAGAAGCTGCAAACCTTTCGGAGTCTTCAGTGGAACTTTCACTTGACGAAAATGTAAATAAAGATGCTACCGCCTCCTTATCAGATACGGACTATCCCAATTTCGACAGTTTCGAAATGCTTAACAGCGCACAGCAAAAGCCGCAAGAGCACACCAATGAACTGCACCACATCGTCGAGCATACGGATATTGACAACGAATCATTTGAGGAAAATGAATCAATCGCTGACATACTGAGTGATCTGATGTCTGAGGACGTAACTACAATCACACCATTGGAGTCCGTCACAGAAGTGGAAGGTATTCGTTCGAAAGAAGACGTTAACACACAAGGAGTAGAAAGTATTACCACACAGCCAGCGCAAGCAGCGGAACATGTGCCAGATTTGGTTGCAGCGGATACGAATGTGGCCGAGGAGAAACTAGCCGAACAGACACCAAACGCGGAAACAACGGAAGCACAAAAAGAAAATGGTGGCAATGACAAGCTGATAACATTCTATCCAGAAGTCGAGGACTTGAGTGAGCATGCACACAATCACATTGAAGCACAGAATGAAGCCGAAGCAGAGCAAACCACGCGCGTGCCACTGATATCAGCAGATATCAGCACTCAAGGAAATGAGGAATTTGAAGTTACGGATCACACTTTATCGCCCGAAGAGTTGCCTTTCGATTTAACGTCGCTTGACGATATACAACCACAAGAATTGGAATCGGATAGTTTGGTGCTGGAGAGCACCACAGTACCAGCCGCGGCGCAAGCAGAAGATGAAGAGGAAGCTTCTGGCGCCGGAGCGCCGGATGTCACACGTAATGAGGAGGCCACAGCAACGCCTGATGATATTACTGAAATCACTACGCAGACTATGTTGGGCTTGGCAAGTCGAGTGACGCTGATGGAACCGGCAGCGCCTATAGCTACAACACTTAAGCCACTGATGACGGAGACCACGCCAGAAAGTGAGGCCACACCAGAACCCGTAAAGGAGTTGCCTGGTACAGAAAATGTGCTGACAGCCAAACCAATCACAGGTAAGTGGCTGCCACTGCCATTTACATTGAAAACCATTTATTTATACAACTTTCTTTCCGCGCAGAAATACGTAAACGTGTCGAATTGGGCACGGAGGCAGTTTCACTTGGACTTGCGTGCATGAACGACCGACAATGTCAGTTGGCCGATCCAAATGCAGTTTGCAATGCGCGTGGTGTATGCGATTGCAACTTGGCTGAGCCGGCAGCGGAAGTGCAATGTAGCGCACAGCGAACGGGTTGCGCACCCGGAACTTTCCAGGTACTTTTTGTATTTATTTTTATTTTTTTTGCAAATTTCACACTTCTAATACAAATCGTTATTTCACCATACCGCAGTGTCGTTCGTCGGGCGTTTGTATATCGTGGTTCTTTGTGTGCGACGGCCGACCGGACTGCAATGATGACTCAGACGAAGAGTGCACATTCAATGCCCGCTTGAATCAAACCTGCCCAGTAGAAGCTTTTCAATGTGAGCGCAGCGGTCGCTGCATTTCACGTGCCGCACGTTGTGATGGACGCAAACAGTGCCCGCATGGTGAGGATGAGTTGGGTTGTAACGCACTGAGGGCGGGCGAATGTCCGCCACACACTTTCCGTTGCAAGAGTGGCGAATGCCTGCCCGAATATGAATACTGCAATGCGATCATTTCTTGCCGCGATGGCAGCGATGAGCCACCACATTTGTGCGGGTCGCGTTCGATGCCGACCTTCTTCCTGCGTCTGCTGAATGCCGGTGGCCTGCTGGAGAATGAGGACGCCTATTGCCCGCATCGTTGCAGCAATGGCCGCTGCCGCTCGACGGCGATTGTTTGTTCGGGCAGAGATGGTTGCGGTGATGGAACCGATGAGCAGACATGCTCCGTTTGTAGTAAGTTTGAAAAATGGCTTGGAAATCTATGATGAAAAGGAATGTAATGAAATATGTTTTTTTTTGCTTATTTCGCTTAGGATGTCCTGCACCCAACAGCAACAGTTTGTCTAATTACCTTACCAGACATCGTCCAATGCCTTTATGGTAGAGCCATGCATACGAAATTGAAGAATAGCAACGATGAACATAGTCCCGAAATGAAGGATTAATTTTGGAAATCCTTACGCAAACGGGGGAAGTCGAGTTTTTGGCGGTGTTTTTTCGGAAGTGTGGTCGAAAATTTGTAGCTTTGTGCCTATTTCAGGCGCGCCGCATTAACATACTGCCGGATAACGACAACGATTTTGATTTTCCATGCGCCTAAAATTAGTTCTTAAGCTTATTTATTCTATTCATAAATCTATGTATGTCTAATCATTACGTTTAATTACTTCGAAGCAATTGCCGCCTTGCTGGCGAGGAGGTTGCAAACAAAAGGAAATAAAACCAGCAGCTAGTAAATGATCGCAGTACACAGCATATTTATACAAATAGCAATACTAGGGAGTCCTTAGTACTCCTCATAGAAGCACAAATACTTCTTCGACTCAGTGATGTTTGGCAATTGCATCTGTGCTCTAATACACACGCGCACGCACCACATCTCTAAACGCGCGCAGTCTATTTATTTGAAACTATTTATTATTACTCATTTTCACTTTCATTTTTTCATTGCCACTTTAATTTAAAAGTATATACTTATAGAAATAAGCTACTGCATTTTAAGTTTAAATTCAAATATAAAAAAAAACTCTAAATAATTATTTAACATTTTAACATATCAAGTAAATAGTCGAAAACCCTAACAAAATAACCATCATTTGAATTGCCACTTTAAAAAATTTCCAAACCTTTAAAAGCACTTCTAATTTGGTGAAAAAATAACTTGTTGATAATTTAAATAAATACTTGGAAATACTAAATAAAGCATAATTTGTAAATACATATGTAAGTAAAAAAAAAATTAATAATCACTCAAAGTTATATGTATGTATGTAGATGCTATTAAAGCACTAAGTTTCATAAAATAATGTTACTTTTGAAACTGCGCATTTATTGAATTGTTTAAATTCAATATCAAGTACTCGTAGGCTGCCAAACAGCGCTACAACAACTGGTTAGAGAAAACAACGAGAAATATGTAAGTTTATGTATGTAGGTATTTACAATATAATGAAAGTGTAACGCATTTAAAGGTAGATATTAAATAAACAAGTTGCATTTATTAATAATTAAATTTAAATAAAAGAAAGTGCGTGTTTTTATTTTCAATGAGAACACTGAGCATCAGATTAGTGATGATGCGTCGAAGGTTGCGTTAATGCTAATGATATCATAAATTATTATCGTTTTATGTAAGAACAAGTACTGTCGTCTTATTTTTATTCAGTACTGTTTGGAAATTCATCATGGAAAGGCTCCCAGCAACACCCTTTAATTATTCAGCTGTATTAAGAAATACTGGTAGCAATGCTGGAAAGAGTAATTGAAAATTGGAACTTCCGAATGGACCACCTACAGCGTAGTGAAATTATTTTTAAAAAGTACTTGTCAGAGATTGTTCTTTCGGGTAATAATAAAGACTACGAGTGCCAGTTACTATCGAAATTCGACAATTTTTCTAATTTTGTAAGACGCTTGAAGGGGTTTGCCCACTTAGCACGTCGTTTATCTTTCTAGCAAAAACTTTTCTGTTTTTGGTAAGCGCTTACTATTTGTATCGATGGAATAACGCATTACAATTCGCCTCAAGACAAAATTTTCCACTTTCTCGTTTACGCACTGCATTACCTAGCAGCACCAAAGCATCTTTACATTTTCTCGCTTACCTCCAATGGAAAAGTGCTTCCCAATCGAGATTCACCACTTACCTTCTAGTTTACAAAACCCATTACTTTAACCCGGGCATGTCATTGGAGGTCAAGTCAAAGTTTTTGCTGGGTTATAAGGTATAAAATTACATACCGGAAAATCTCCTGTTTTGGAACTAAAATGCGGATACAATCTTTTATATCATTGAATGTCTTTGGAGGACTTTGACAGGACTAGGAAGTGACCCGATGCATTCCAGTTTGCCGATAAACTTTGATAATTTGATACATATCGGTAATTCAATGAATTCCATAAACACTAAAATCCGATTATTTACTCAACAATATTCGATAACTCAACTAATTACGATTATTTTCGATAAACTTCGATAACTGTGCGTTTCGATAAATTGCGTGTCGATAAATTTCGATAATCCAAAAATGCATATACATATATCGATTTAAATCGATAGCTAAGTAAACTTTGGTTACCTGCATAAACTTCGATAACTCGGTTAATTTTGATAACACCCAATTTTGCGAAAGCTATTCGATAAGTAGTGATAACTCGATAAACTTATATAATCTTGAAATTTTGATAATTCAATACATTTCGAATATTCCAAAAACTTCGGTTCAATGAATCGACAAATTTTAATAAATCAATTAATATCGATAACGCGATAAGTTGAAAAACTCGGCGCATTACGATAACTCAATAAATTTCATTAACTCTATAAATAATTATAGTTCAACAAATATCGATTACCTGAAAGTTTTCATTTATTTGACAAATTTCGATAATCCCATCAATTTTTAGAGCTCGATAACTATCCGTAAATTTTTGACAACTGATTTTCTGTGCCTATAAATTTCGATAACTCAATAAACATTGATAAATTTGAATAATTCGATACCTTGCGATAAATCAATAAACATGCAAAACTCGATAAATTTCGATAACTAAAAACTTCGAAGTATCGATAGATTGCGGTAACTTGATTACTTTCAATATATAAATTTTTTGTAACTGAATTTATTTAGATTTTTATCGAAAAATTTCAATAAATTGGCTTGCCCTTTCAGTTGCCCTAACTCCTATGTATTGCTAATTGTTGTCATTTTCGCCTTTATCATCAATTTTGCCTTCAATTTTTTGTCTCAATCTGCCGACTTGAATTTAAGTTCAGGCTTCTAAGCACCGGCTAAAACCTCATCGCAAGCTGTGATAGAAGCTTAATTTAGGGTTGCATTAAAATTTGCTATACCAAAAGTTCGTTATATTGGGCGTCTACTGTAATTAATATCTTGTGAAGTTACGCGAGTCATTGCTCATCGTGCGTGCGCAACAGAGAAAGTAAACAATTTAATAATTTGTTTACTGCAATAAATGCAAATGAAACAACAAAAACGAATGCCAAACCAAAACAAATAAAAAAAAAAAACAATTCGTATCTTGCAGTGTCTGCAATTTTTACAATTAGCACTTTCGAAAGCGCAAACTCACCACCTTTTGTGTAGTATGAGCGCGCTCAGTAGTGATTGTGAGAGAAATATGGCGTGTGGCATTCGTTTGCAATGGTAAATTTAGTTCATTCATTCATATTTCTGCGGGGGAAAACAACAGTGGGTAGAAAATGGTTTGTTTTCAACTTTGGTAACCAACTTTTAATGTTAGTGACAGTCTATACATACATACGTATGTATTTTATACAACCCAGTAAACATTATGGCGAAAGTAATGATAATGAACATTCCAAAATGGTTTAAAAAATTGAAACCATGGAAACCAGAAAGTGGCTTTAATAAGAGACATCTCTCCTTCATGTAAAAATTTTATTGGGTACCGAAGGTTCCGTCTTACTGGATAATAGCTTAGTTCGTTATAGAAGGTGAGGCTTGAAAGAGAGACTCGTTTTTGTTTGAAATTTTTATTTTAATTTTAAACGATTTATTGTAAAACTTTTAGGGAAAAACAAAATTAACGATTACGTAGCCTCAGGTTTAAATTTTACATGCACGATTACCATTTTCAACTTCTTGCATAGCTTGACACATCGCCTTAGGCTATAGTCACCTGAGGTGATAGGTCGGAGGCTTCTCTGCTCGTGGACTGCCTCTGACTTAGGCTAGTTGTTGGACTCATGACTAGTCACTGCTTAATTGGAATGCATATTAAATAAAAACAATATAATAGGCTTTCTTGAGAACGACTGCCGGAGTTGTAAGGACGAAGAGGTGATTGAAAATATTGAACACTTTCTCTTTGACTACCCAGACTTATCTCAACTGAGACGGCGATATTTTCATGAATAATTTTTTCACGGTATGTCTGCTGCAAGCTCCATGAAGACCTGCGATTTAAGCGCTCTTCAGGGCTGTGTGCAATTGGTTCCGTTGGCATCAATTTATGACTTGAATATAAAGGTCGGCATCCCATATGTTAATGTTTGGCCGAGCTTCTCCTCCGATTTGCGGTATGCGCCTTGATGTTGTCACACAAAGTGGTAGGACCTAGAGTTTTGCGCCGACTCCAAGTGGCGATTGGGTTACGATGACCTACCGTGCCATAAAACAACGTAATTTAGGTGGAGTAAAAATCATTATCAGGCAAAGAATTACTCTTGGCCACAGCTGCTACTTTGGGCTCGGGGCCAATTGAAAAGCAGAGCCCTTGAACAGAACATAAACATGGAAGATGTCGAACAAAGGTGAGGCGGCTTCGGGTTCTGTCGAGAGGACTAGCCTACGCAAGACCTATGGCGCTGTTCGCGTAGGCGATGATTACCCTAGAAATCGACGGCTGGCTGGCTTGTACAAGTTGTCCGCATGGATATCGAGGTGAAAAGACCCTTCGAATCGGCACCCATTGGTGAACAACGAACAAAATGGAAGCACCAAGTGCAGAAGGACAAGGGCGTGTCTGAACTCGCGATGATGTACAACTGTGAAACTTTGAAATGGAGGGGGCAATTGACGTAGCTTTTTGCCCTTGGTCCAAACCGACGAACGGCTGTAAAACCAACCAAGATGAAGAAAAATAAAATTTTAGTATTAAATTACCTATCTAATATTTTTTTGGGTACCTGTATGTTTACACTTTCCCGACAGGGTACTGACCGCACACAGATTTCACCACATTCGCATGCATTCGCCATACTCACGCTCATATATGTACTCTTTTATCAACAATGAGCGGGTTGAGGTTGCAAATAGTCGTCGTCGCTCTGAGCAAACCGAACCGGACATCCTTGCGGACAACAAGGATACTATTGTGCATTGTATACAAATATAAGTATTTAGAAATATCTCCTAGTGCCAGACGGTCGTAGACCAACCAACAACGTTGACATATAATTATACGGGCTCTACAGGCTTGGCTGCCAGGCGTTTTGTTTGCAATCAATAAACAGAAATATTGCAAAATCAAAGTTTTTCGCACATAAATTATGTATCGCTTATACTTACGTATAGTGTTTGGTGAAATGAAAAAGTCAATATTTAATAGCTGCTAATGTGAAAAGATGTGGAAAAGTGCATAAAGTCGTCACGCATGAAAGTAAGCGCAACGGGTAGGTTTTAATGCTGCTGTGCGAGGAGGTGCGAGGAGGTGCGGTGCGTTGCA